TGGATATTACATTTATATGTATAGCATGGTTCATATTATGTTCCTCTCTCTATTTTAACAGAAACACTGTCAGGCTGCATCTCCACAGATAAATGTTGAATGCAAGATGCAAGAATGACAGTGGCAGTTGCAAATCCAGTACCTTTATATTTCTTTTAAGAAACAAAAAAAGCAAACAAACTCAAAAGATTTCAGTTAGTTATAGCAGAAAGATGACAGAAGATCCTATCCTCCTTGTAGCTGAGCTGTCTCTGGTTCTGTGATGGAGAAGGAAGATACGCAACATATTTGAAGCTTAGCTTTAAATACAGCACAAAGTCTTATAATTATTGGCAGGGCGGACATCTTCATAAATCCAAACTTATTTGAAGTATAATCCTTAGGGAAACTGAAACAATTTGCATAACAATGAAACATATGCTGTTCAATGCATATTTTGTTCACACTGAAAACTCATCTCACAGGGACTGAAGATGAGAGCTATGAAGAACAAAATAAAATTAAGCCACTAGATTGGCTCTATACCTTCATTTAACAAGTTCTGCTTCCCATCCTGTGAGTGACCTGGATCCAGAGAGGATTGAGAAAGACTAACTTCTGCTGAAAGTTGGTCCAGACTTTGAAAACTTTTCCTGCAAAGCAAGTAATATTTAATACTAACACATTTAAAAATCTAACTAGATATCTTCAATTCTTCTTAAAAAGTTTTCTAAAAAAAACCTAGGCAGTTAATCCTTCTTCTCTTAAACACCTGTTGTGGTTTAACCCCAGCCAGCAGCTAAGCACCACACAGCCGCTTGCTCACCCTCCCTGTCCCAGTGGGATGGGGGAGAGAATCGGAAAAAAAAAGTAAAACCGATGGGTTGAGATAAAGGTAGTTTAATAGGACAGCAGAGGAAGAGAAGGTAATAATCATAAAAGAATATACAAAGCAAGTGATGTACGATGCAATTGTTCACCACCTGCTGACCGATACCCAGCCAGTTCATGAGTAGCAATTGCTGCCCCCCGGCCAACTCCCTCCAGTTTCTATACTGAGCATGACATCATATGGCATGGAATAGCCCTTTGGCCAGTTTGGGTCAGCTGTCCTGGCTGTGCCCCCTCCCAGCTTCTTGTGCACCTGGCAGAGCATGGGAAGCTAAAAAGTCCTTGACTAGTGTAAGCACTACTTAGCAACAACTAAAACATCAGTGTGTTATCAACATTCTTCTCACACTAAATCCAAAACACAGCACTAGGCAGCTACTAGGAAGAAAATCAACTCTATCCCAACTGAAACCAGGAAAACACTCTATTTTTTTTGTTTGCTTGTTTTCTAAAACACTGGTTTTTCCTAAAGCAATGATTTCCTTTTTTTTTTTTTCTTAAATTAATCCAAAGGAAGGAAATTTTTATGGTAAGCAAGAGAAACTGATTTTTTTTCTGCCAGCTGATCCTTGTACATTGTACAAACAGATAATTCCAATAGGATATATTTCAGAGTATGCTAAGGAAAATGTATAAATTTTGAGTTTCCTTCTTCCTCTAAAGGCGAATCAAAATAAATATTCAACTTACTCATCCCACTGTTGATTGTGCTTTCTATAGAGTAGAGTGTCCAAGGCAACAGCATTGACATCCAGAGCTCCTGGGGAAGGCCACTGATTGGTGAGGTGAGTAGTTAATTCTTGTCTTGATCTCAAGTCATTATTCTTTAGCACAGTCCTGTGAATACAAAAAGCAGTAAATCTCAGTCTATTAAATGCAATTCCTTAAGGTACAGAAAGAATAACAGGACAGATAGTCCTGACCAAGCTGATGTTCTACTTCGAGTGACCAACAGACTGCAATTTCATAAAGCATCTTAGACTGTTCATTTTTTCTAGGGGAAGCAACTTAGAAACCTATTGAGATGTATTTAGGAACACAAAAAAGTTGAAATTAGATCCTTCTGCAAAAGCAATTAAAGAAAAAAAAAAACACACCAAAACTAACTGCATTCTAAAGACTCTTTCTGCCAGCATGATGGGAATTCATAGGCCAACTATTTTGCAGATCAACTATGGGAAAATTATGTCCTTCCCCCCCCCC